CCACCTCCCCGCTGCCTCAGGCAAAGATTTCCCCCAAACCTGTTGCTTGAGATTCTTTCAACTACGAACTGAACCTGGGATCTTCTAAACCCAGTACCTATGCTCCACCACTGAGAGACAGGCCCTCCACGAAGGCCCTACAAACAGTGCACAAGCGGAAAAAGGGAAACTTAAACCACTGACTTTAGCTTACATTACAATCCAGAAACCAGCAAAGTTGGAGTGCTAGGCTTAGACTGATTTAATCTTGTTAGTTTTGGTCCATTACATCTACTTGGCAGCAGTTTAAAAAGTTTGAGGACCTCAGCTTAAGGGTCTGTCCGTATCAGCTCATATTTGTGATCTGTCACTCAAAGCAATTCCATTTCCCATCTTTGGTTGTTCCTGCTTTATATTCTTAATCATGCTGTTCATTTGCCATTTTGTTGTTGTTTGTATGGGTTGTTTTATTTTATATGTTAATTATTATGTTTTATATGGATTTGCTTTGTAAGTGACATTGAGGGAACTTGCCAAAAGGCAGGGCATAAGTTAATTTTATTTTATTTACAACTTTCCAGGTTCAAATTGCTCAGAGTGGAAAAGATGCAAAGATTCTTTCAGATGGCTAAACCTGAAATTTCCATAGGCTGAGTTTTCTTGATCAGGGCAATAATCAAAAGGGTGAACCCCCTACTACCATCTGCATTAGCTAGACCAGTGTTTCCCAAACGTTTTTGGGCAACGGCACACCTGTTTACCGGAAAAAAATCTCGCGGCACACCACCATTAAAGCCCCGCCCCCGTGACGTCATTCGGGGAGCCGGCGGCCCGGGCCTGAGCTGGAAGGAGAGGCGGTGCTTTTCGGCACAAGGCAATCGGCCTGGAATTGTTTCCCGCGCGCTGCGAAAGGGAACAGCTGCGGTCGCGCGAACCCTCCGGCGCTGGGAGGGGAAAGGGCGGAGTCGCAGAGCACCAGCTGGCCGAGCGGTTGCGCGCAGCGTTGCGCTTTTGGAGAGCGTGCGGCTGCTGCTAGGGGATCCGGGGACGTGAGCAGGCCTGGCCCGACCCGGGTTGAAGGAGGACAAGCCGGCAGCGCGCCAAGTGAGTTCGGTTGCGCGCGACGGCCCCCGCTCCCCCCACCCCCGCCGGATCCTCGCCGCCGCCGCCTCTCGCCCGCCTCCCTCCCACGGCACACCAGCCGATGTCTCACGGCACAGTAGTGTGCCGCGGAACACCGGTTGGGAAACACTGAGCTAGACAACATTCTCCCACAATGGTCTGCCTGGACACTGTTATAATAAGCACCTAGGAACCAGAGAGAGCCCCTTTTCAATGACTGCTTCAGTGTCCTCCCCAAGAAAACTCATTAGGCACCTACTGTAATTTAGATGGCAAATGAAAACATTTTTATTTTTTCAGGTTGAGGCAGGCCTGCACAACTTGTGGTCCACCCAAGATGAATACAGTTCATCAACCATAAACTGTGGCCTGCCAGGTACTTCACATTCTGGTCTGACAGTACAAGGCAGCACCAAAAACAAATGAGTGACTGAATCCTTGGTGGGACATCCTACTGTAGATGACTGTTGATAACAATAAAGAGAAGTTATTTCTCTTTAAGCAGCTAAATGAGCTTTTATGGCTATTCTGAAGGAACTTTTGCTATTATTTATTATTATTATTATTGTTCTTTTTCACTGCAAATTTTAATTTCTTTTTACAAAAACATTAGAAGAGCCTGCTGGATCAGGCCAATGACCCATCTGGTCCAGCATCCTGTTCTCACAGCGGCCAACCAGATGCTCATGGGAAGCCCCAAAGTAGGACCTGAGCTACAGTGGTACCTCAGGTTACATACGCTTCAGGTTACAGACTCCGCTAACCCAGAAATAGTGCTTCAGGTTAAGAACTTTGCTTCAGGATGAGAACAGAAATCGTGCTCCGGCGGCACGGCAGCAGCAGGAGGCCCCATTAGCTAAAGTGGTGCTTCAGGTTAAGAACAGTTTCAGGTTAAGAACGGACCTCCGGAACGAATTAAATACTTAACCCGAGGTACCATTGTATTCTCCACACTGGTGATTCCCAGCAACTGGTATTTGGAGGTATGCTGCCTCCAGCAGTAGAGGGAAAACACAACTAGCATGGCTAGTAGTAACTGATAGTCTTATCCCCCATCAATTTGTCTAATCCTCTTTTAAAACCATACAAACTTAAAGCCAAAGTACAGTGGTACCTCTGGTTATGAACTTAATTCATTCCGGAGGCCAGTTCTTAACCTGAAATTGTTCTTAACCTGAGGTACCACTTTAGCTAATGGGGCCTCCAGCTGCCACCGTGCTGCCCCCATGCGATTCCTGTTCTCATCCTGAGGTAAAGTTCTTAACCCAAGGTACTACTTCCGAGGAAGGAGAGTCTGTAACCCGAGGTGTTTGTAACCTGAAGTGTTTGTAACCTGAGGTACCACTGCATCAACATACAGTGGTACCTTGGTCCTCAAACTTAATCCATTCTGGGAGTCCGTTCGACTCCCAAAACCATTCAAAAACCAAGCGCGGCTTCCGATTGGCTGCAGAAGCTTTTTGTGCTCAATCTGAAGCAGTGAGGGACATTCGGCTTCCAAAAAACACTTGCAAACCGGAACACTTACTTCCAGGTTTGTGGCATTCGGAAGTCAAACCGTTCGAGTACCAAGGTACCGCTATACATAAATACTTTATGATTTTAACTTGTTAGCTGCTCTAGGAATCTAGTTGATGAATGAGGTATATATTTAGTAAATAAAACAAAAGCAAGCATCCTGCAGAGGTAAAGTCTTCCAGAATTACACTTTTTCTTACTGTAAGGTATATGTAAAATGTGGCCTTACAGTCAGCTGTGATCCAATCTTGCCTCATCCACAAATCAAGAGGAAGAACCTATATTTACTTTGACCAGGAAGAGCTGCCCTTCCACTGTGGAAGAGGTCATGCACTCTAAGGCACATATCCAACAGCAGAAGTTGCAGAATGCACACACAAGTACTCAATCCCAAATCAATATTTTCCATGTGTTATTCTCCCCAGTGAAGTAGTTTTTCCCCACATGTGACTGACTGAAATTCAATGACAGAATTAGTCAGACCTATACTTCTTTTCCAGCTGTTACAGGCCACTTCTTGTTTCCTTTCAAGTGCCTGCTGAGCCAAAGTAGTGACTGGTCTCTTCACAGACAATATATAGAAGAGGCTAACAAAACTACACACATTTTCCAGATACAGACAAGTTTTCAGTAGATTGTTCTTGACTCTTATTTCAGATCCTGCATAACTTGTGTCCCACCAAACTGAATATAGCTCAATGGTCATCTTATGATACCCCACCAAGGAGTCAATCGCTCTCTTGTTTTTGTGCTTGCCTGGGGCTGCTAAAACAGAGAATGTGACGCATTCAACAGGCCACAATATATGGTTGAGGAGCAGTACTTAGCTTGGGTGGGACACAAGTGGTGCAGGCCTGCCTCAGATTTTCTGTGAAAAAGGAAAGCTGCAAACCCATAGCTTGCTCATATGTGCCTTAATTTTGTGTTTGTATTCAGTCTGCCTTGCCCAGCTAGTTGTCAAATCCAGCTAGTCCACTAAACTGCAACTGGTATACCTTTTAACTCCATCAGGCACCATGTATCAGCAGGTGCAAAAATGAGTGTAAGGATATAGGTAAACATATCAGTTTGCAACCCGGAGACCTTCCCTCCTCCACTTTTAACCTTTCAAGGTAGGAGAAGAACAAGCTACTACTGTTCTCCTCGCTTCATAGTCCCTGTAAAAAGCAGGCCTCTGGTTTCATCCCACAGCAACCAGGGAGGAGGCCCCAGCTAAGCCTTCAATCTTAAATCAACTTGTATGGGCCACCGAATTCAGTTAAAACTTACTCCAGAAAGACATGCTTAGGATCCCACTGCCAGAATACTTCCCCACTGTTACCGTCTGGGAGAACTTTCATTCTGGGAACTACAGTATGGGTTGCTGTTGGTTGGTTGTTTTTTGTTTGGCCAAAGACAAATAAGTTTCCAATAAGCCTACAGCTTCACAGAAAGCAAGAGGAACTCCTTATTGCAACCCATCAGAAAGACTCTTTCCCAGAGGGGAAACCACGTCTGTCGTAACAGCAAAAACAAAAAAGCTAAAGCGTTTTTATGGCAAAAGCTCCCATGGGCTCTTTTTGAGACGCCACAGAGGGTTTTTAGTTGGTTTCTCAGAAGCGCAAGACACACTAGGAGAGACCCTGGAAGCTCCGTCCCCGCGCCCCCCTGCCCCAGCCCTGCCCCGTCTTTCTGCAGCAGGCGCTCGCGAAAGGCACGCGAAGGAAAACGCACCCCGACGACCCGGGCGATCTTCTCGTACTGCTCCGTGGCGTCCCGGAACTGGCGGTAGCAGTTCTGGCAGAGCCTTACAGGCCGGGCGCTCCGCGCAAGGCAGCCCGTCAGCGTGGCGCTGCTGTTGGCGAAGGCGGCCAAGAGCTCACGGCACTCCGGCTCCAGCTGCGCGTCCAGCAGGTCCCCCGCGAGCCCCGAGCCCAGCGACGCCAGGTCCGCCGCCTCCAGCAGCTCCCAGGACAGAGGGCGGCGCCGGCCTCCCGAGGCACTTTCCTCCCAGCCGCTCCCTGCGGAGCACAGGCCCAGCAGAGCGCCGGGAAGCAGGAGCAAAAGCGCGGCCGGGCCCATCGCCGCCACCCGCGCCGTGCCCGGGGAGAAGCGGGAGGAAGAAGGGAAGCCGCCCTCGGGTCCTGCCTACCGAACGCCGCCGCTTGCAGAAGCGAAACCAGGTCACGTGCAACAGGGAGGTGAGCGCGCGCAGGGCTGGCGCGGGGGGGGGGGAGAGAGGAAGCGCTGTCAACATTCGGGAACGGGGCCCGGCGCGGCGTCTCATTGGGTGCTGGGGATTCGACGCGTCATAAGGTAGGAGCGTCGGCCGCGAGAAGGGGCGGGGCCGAAGGGCGCAGCGGGTACAGCGAGAATGCGCCGGCAGATTCGGAGGCGGGGTTTGAGGGCTGGCGGCTTGTTCGATTGCGGAGGGGTTTGCTGCGCTGCAAGGCGATAGGAGCAATAGCTATGTCGGCACCTCAACGCTAGTAAGTGTGTGTGGAATGGAAAAGATGAACTACAACATCCTTAGTTGTCTGGGACTAAAATCATAGCATAGCATCATGGGCGTAGCCAGGATTTTTGTTGCGGGGGGCAGGACTTTTGTGGGGGGGCGAACCTTAGTTTGCTCTGTATTATATTGATTTTTATTGATGGGGGCAGCTGCCCCTCCGTGCCCCCGCCCCTTGGGTAGCATCAGTGCATACGCATTGCAGAAAAGTAATGGGGGTTTTCTGGAGCACTTCCTTTCCGCTCAGTTACAATCAGGATGCCAACTTGAATAAAATATTGGGGGGCCGAAGTAAGCCTCCCCCTGCATAATCGATCACTGTGCATGTCGCGCGCACACCATTTGAATGCCAATGTGCATTAACTTGTGGGGCAGCCCCCTCAAATATTTTATAGGGTGGGCACCGGGACCTCAGTCCCTAGGAGTTGGATCCTATGGTTACAACAGAAACTCAAGGTTCCTTCATGTTTCCCTCTGAAGCCCTCTTGGGGTAACGGAACATCTCGCTGATCTCCAGGGGGGAAACTGTAGAAGTGGGGAATCTGTGCTTTTGGCTGTGGCAGGTTTGGCGTTCTTTGGTATAAGGGGTGTCCCTATGCTATCTGTGTCTATAATATATGGATCTCTTTCTGTATATTCCTCCACACCTGCTCCAGTCATCCTCCTGAGGCCCTGCTCCATATTCCTGCCCCTGTGAGACACAACTGGCAGTCGCAAGCGCTAGGGCTTTTCCTGTGGGGCATTTTGGTTTATCTTTCCTAGAATCATAGACTGTTTGGTGTTTGGGAATTTTGTTGTTGTGGTTATGGCTTTTTCTTGTAACATATTGATCTGATGATGAATGGTGGGGATTGCTATGTATTTTAATGTTATGTGGTGTGTGGATTTGTTTGGTGCTTCTTTTGAAAATTATTTAAAAATAAAAAAGAACATATCCATCAGTAAATCCTGTGGAACTCAGGAAACTTGGAGTTGTAGCCAACAAAGTTCTACTTAAATTTGTTATTGTTCAGTCGTTTAGTCGTGTCCGACTCTTCGTGACCCCATGGACCAGAGCACGCCAGGCACTCCTGTCTTCCACTGCCTCCCACTGTTTGGTCAAACTCATGTTGGTAGCTTCGAGAACACTGTCCAACCATCTTGTCCTCTGTCATCCCCTTCTCCTTGTGCCCTCCATCTTTCCCAACATCAGGGTCTTTTCCAGGGAGTCTTCTCTTTTCATGATGTTGCCAAAGTATTGGAGCCTCAGCTTCAATATCTGTCCTTCCAGTGAGCATTCAGGGCTGATTTCCTTAAGAATGGATAGGTTTGATCTTCTTGCAGTCCATGGGACTGTCAAGAGTCTCCTCTAGCACCATAATTCAAAAGCATCAATTCTTCGGCGACCAGCCTTCTTTATGGTCTAGCTCTCACTTCCATACATCACTACTTAAATTAGACCTACTGAAATTAATGGACCTAAGTTAGTCATGTCAATCAATTTCAATGGTTCTACTTAGCACTGTGGGTTAGCACTGGTAACAGCCACTACCTATGAGTAAACATAAATAGAATTGGCATCACAATTAAAATGCATCTTGTATTGTTTAAAACATGGTTCTAGAAAGTTGACATCCCCCAAGAAAGCAGAGGCACCAGGGTCAGCTTGTGCATTTGGCAACATAGTAAGTCAATGTTTGTTTAGAACATTTATGTTTATGATATATTCATTCTATGGTACATCTAATATTTTTAAACATATATTAAATCTCTTAAATCTGTCATATCCTTTCATTTTAAAGTTAAGTGTCTGCAACCCAGACAGGCTGAAAATTTACCATAATAGATGAAGCTTTGCAGTTGTTCATCTAGTAGTAACCTTGATACCCAGCCAAAATGTACTGTAGTTAGCAGCTGCTTAGTGACTGCATACCAGAAAGGATACATTTGTTGGTGTGTAGGTGGAATGGTATTTGCTTTCAGAGGCTGAGAACAAAAAAGCAGGGGAGAGGCTGTGGATGCAAGATGTGACAATCAACCTGGACATTTCTACTTAACTCTAGGCCTATGTAATTGATGTTCCCGTGTATGTGAGGAAGATAACATTGAGACAAACTTGCATTTTGGCAGTGGATTTTGCCATTTTTGCAACCTTATGACATTCTGGGTCCTCTGGGGTAGGACTTTTCTTTTCATCCCATGTCTTAATAAAAACAGTTCTCCCTCAGTGCCAGTTTGGAGAAGTCTACACATTAAAACCCAAAGAAGCAACATGTGTCTGCAGCACCTCTTTTTCTCATGCCTCTCCTTTTCTTATTTTTGCTTACTACAAAGTGCCCTGGCCAGGATCTTTTCTTTGTGAATCACCCCATCCTTGGTATGTGTGTGACTGAGGGCTAGTCGGGTTGGGCAGGATATTTCCATCCTATTTATATTCTTTTTCCAGGATTCCTCTCCATAAGGGAGAAGACACCCTAGCTGTGAAAAAGATCAGTTGGGAAATAAAGCTTTTAAACTTTAATTGTTTGTTTGTTTGTTTGTTTGTTTATCCTTGCATCTTTGCATTTCCTTGCAAAGATTGATCCTGGGCTGTGTGATGGTGATGGGTTTGATCACATGGAAATCTGTTTCTTGGGGGCAGGTATCCACCATCACAAAAATATGGAGCCCCTTTCCTCTGGTGAGCCTACCATGATAGTAGAAATAAATAAAATCACAAACTTCACTGCCAAACTCTGTTCCATATCAGGACATGCCCCATTCTGTACTTATGGCAAAACTCTCTACAAAGGCTTATTTTAAAAGGACTATGGGATACCACAGTATTTAATGTTGCTTCATCCTTCTGCCAGCCTTGCCTTGATGCGAGACGAAATAATGCGGAGTCACCTGTGTTTGATCCTCATTCATCCTCTGAGTTTGATTCAAAATGTCAACAGATAATAAAACGAAAACCTGTAAATCTGCAGGAAGAATTCCAGATCCATTATCCCCATTGCCAAGAAGCAGATTTTCACACAATATCCATCTGCAGTTTGCACTTAATTCATTCAGTATTGTCAATTGCTCACTTTAATTAAACACTCCAGGTGTTTTTGTGGATGTTTTTCTGCAGACATAAAGCTTCACAGAAGTTGTAGTCTTAAAGCTGCATAAACCGTTAGTATCATATGCAAGGTCACAATGTTTCCTGAGTTCTGAAGTATTAAAAGTGTGATAAGTTTGTGGAACTTTAGGCCCTGATCCTGCTAAAGTTAGTTACAACTAACACCACAAACCTATGCATATTGACTCAGAAATAAGTCCCATGTAAGTTTGCACAGAATTGTGACCTAAGTCTCATGGAGCAAATGGGACTTGAGTTGCATGACTGTCTTGATCCATTATTTAAAATGGAATTTCCAGTCCAGTTTAATGCTCAATTTGCATGTAACGCTAAGTCAAATAATGGCTTAGCACAAATATGTGAGTGTGCGGACTCCCAGAGAGGAGATTACGGCCACTTTTCCTCTACTTCAGTTGCTGTAAGCTAAGCCATGGTTTGACTTTGCATGATTTTTGAATCTAGTTTCATGGTTTACCTCTTTCAGACAAACCATGAATTGTAAACCAAGGAAAGCCTTGGTTGTACTTCATGGTTTGTCTGGAGTAAGACAAACCACAAGCTCAGGTTTGGATGACATACCAAGCCAAACCATGGCTTAGCTTACAGCAGCAGGACCAGAGAAGAAGCAAAGTGGCCATGATAGTCCTAGGAGCCTACACACTCTCATGCTTCTGTGCTAAACCATGGTTTGGCTTAGCATTACATGCAAACCAGGTCTATTGTGTTGTTTACTCAGAAGTAGCCAGCTTGTATTTGCATTGCAGCATTAAGCATAATATGAAGTTTATAATAAATAAATGAGTCCTGCTTAGTTCAGTGATGTTTGCTCCCAAGTATGTCTCTTGGGCTTGGGTGTTATTTCGAGGGTTTTGTTGTTGGGGAGTTGTTACAGTTGGTTGTATCTTTATTTTAGATCTTGTTGTGGTTTAGGTGGACATTGTTCAGTTTTGTTGTATATTTTTATGCTTTTAATTATTGTTTATGGCTGCTTTTGTTACGTTGTAGTTAAGTATTTTTTCATGTTGTAATTATGTGTTTTTTCATGTTGTAAGCTGCCTTGAGCATGGTTTGAATTGTGGAAAGGTGGCATGCAAAATATATGGTCTTAGACATAACAAAGTTGGCCCAGTGTGAAGCTTTGTTCTTTAGCCATTGGCCACTGCAAACTTCTGTAAATAATTGTGCCACCATTCTCCTACCTATGTGCTTCTCTCTAGGTCTCAGCTATTATCATGGAATTCATGAGAATGTGCAGAGACACTTGTATGTTATAAAGTGAATGCCTTAAAATATCAAAAATATGATGATGATAATAATGCAAAATATTTAATTCCTTGTGATGCAGGTTTAAGTTTGACAATAATGAAAGCATATGTTCCAGAATGAACATGATGTGGCTAACTTTTGATATGAGTTTTTGGAACAGAATTCAGATATTGTTGAATAGTAATATTTGACTCGTTTTAATTTTGGGAAGGAGGCAGTAGCTGGTGTGTGTGTTTTGGTGGGGTTGGGTTGGGTTTTGGTGGGGTTTTTTTAGCACATTCTAATGGAAAAGGCATCTGTAGAAGCTGCTTTTTGCCTTGAAAAATTTACTTATAATGTTCTTTGTGAGCTGAACACAATACAAAAGCTATTTTAATGCACCTGTTGGCTCCCCCCCTTGAAAAAAATAACAAGGGTGGGGGGTATGTTGGTGAAAGCATAACAAGGAATGAGTTCAGTTTTAATAAGCAATCATACTATTTTGAAAAGAACCCTCTTGTAACAAGTTTACACAATTTTGAAGGAAAAAGATTTTATGTCTGAGCAATTTAGTGGTATGCCATTTCTAAGGATTCTGACAAGCTCCCAGTTGCTTTTACTCATGTGCTTTTAATTAAACCATAATT